TGCAGACAATAAGACCTATTTAAAGGAATAAGAGATAGCTTGAGAAGTAATATTTGTCGACAAAATTTATGATCGTATAAAGAAATTATAAGATTCCGTCCGTCCGTCCGTCCAGCTGTAGATAATTTAACCCTGGTTCGATTTTGTTAAAAGTTATATTTTTAGAAGATTTTATTAAAAAAAAGATGAAATATATGACGGAAAAGTTGATAAAAGTTGTGAATTCCATAAAATATGCAGTTAAAATATTAACTTAGATTTTTATCTTCTTCTTCTTTTTTTCTTTTTTTTTTGGTTAAATCATTCACCATGTAAAATCCATCCCTTTAATCTTCTACTTTGCTCATGCAATCTAATAAATAATCCATTTCTGTATCATTTTTTTGTCAAATTTCCTCTTCTAATTTATATAATTTATTAAGTGGGATATCATGAAATTACTTATTTTTTACTTTATTTTTAATCATGACCCCGCCTTAGGCATAACTAGAGTCTCTCCTTGTAGGAAAATAAGTCACTAGTAGATGAAACCAATTGTATAAGTTTTATTCAATTGCAATAGCCGACTATTGAAATTAATAACCACAAGGTAAACGATTTCAATTTATCAAAAAAATTCCGTTTCAGAATTTTTCAACGGTTAGAAAAAAAATGTTTAGCAACATAAAATCAGAAATATAAGTTAACTGCAGGCTAAAACTGTAAACGATGAATCTGGAAGTTGCACACTATGGAACTACAAACTGCACGAATTAAATAGTAATGTGAAAATAATCTGCAGAAAGAAAACACAAACTGCAGCAGATTTCAAACCGAGGCCTGTGCGTGTACAGTTTTCTTAAGACAGTTTCGCCCCCTCACTGTAGGTGCTGGAGGTTCTGTTCGAACGGCTGTCTCCCAGGATACAACGGTAATAAGCAGAATCCGAGCACCGTGGTCCTACTCCGACGAACCGATCTAGTATCTGAACAATATCACCACAAGAACAAGACCTTACTGAACAAGGACTGCAGAAAAGAAGAAACTGTGTATGCAAGAATGTAGGTGAGATTTTCGAGTCTGTTAGATTGCTAGAGAATGAGCCTTTTTATAGGCATATTGCCCATTAATATTGTGACCATTGGGAGTCCATAGGAGTTACTTTCCATTAATATTGTGACCATTGGGAGTCCATTGAAGTTTTTTTCAGTTTAGAAACTCAAAAGTTATTGGAGAAGGCAAAAAAATTGCCAAAACATGGGCTCTCCGATGGGGCCATTTTTGCCTTGTTCGATTCGACATTCGTGTGCGCAGGTCGCGCCCGTACCCAAGTTCAAGGTCCGAAGGCCATTTCGATTCTTGATTTGCACCCCCCTGCGTGCGCACGTGGAGAGAGCCTCTATGCTACACATGATTACACATCTCCAAAGTATAACAATATATAAAGTGGTTTGAGTTTCCTTGGTTTTCCTATATGGGATAAATGCATTTTTTTCTACAAAACCAACTTCCAATGACCAACTTTGAGCTTCAATTTCTCATTCACCCGAGCTTCATTTTTGACAAATAAATACATGAAATCGATGTTCTCGCGGAGGAGAACACATATCAACTTTGATATTCCACATTGGAGCAACGGGTCCCATCGAAAATTGTGCCAAAAGTGAGCCGCTCAAATCCTCCACATGAATGAAAATTGGGAGAGACACGAAACGTGAGACAATACTTGGTGCGGTTGAATCCTGCATAGGATAGGTAGGTGTTACTCTTTGAACCTTCCTTTGTGAAAGCATATTTACTTTATTGACTGACCAGTAGACGCGATGTCCTTGAACTGTTCTGCCGCTTGTGTAAACGATGATAGACCTCACACAGGATTCTTCCTAACACAATCCAGTTCTCATTGTTATGTTCGTTTTGGCCATAAACATATGCCTGGTTCTGTGAGAGTTCTTAAGAATTGAGCCCCACACAATTTTCTTAGAAGCGGCCCCACTTCTCTCTCACATAGGTGATTTCTTATTACAAGTAACCCGCATCACTTGACTCGATTTACGATACATAAGAATCATTAAAAACTTATTGCTTAACC